CACTATAACACAGCACTATAACACAGCACTATAACACAGCACTATAACACAGCACTATAACACAGCACTACAACACAGCACTATAACACAACACTATAACACAACACTATAACACAGCACTATAACACAGCACTATAACAACACGCTGTATACCAGCACTACAACACAGCGCTGTATAACAGCACTATAACACATCACTCTAACACAGCGCCGTACAACAGGTTGGGGACGGTCAGGTGGAGAACGGCTCGTCAGCGGAGTACGGCCGCTCGTCAGACGTGGTCGTGGTCTCAAGGAAGGAGACGATGCCAGCCTCCTTCGACCAGTTCATCCTGACGGTGCTGTCCAGGGTAGGATACCCTGTGTCCTACACCAACTCCAGCGTCCCTAACAAGATTATCGTGACCGTGCCTAGTGATAACGGTGAGTGATGTGTGATAACGGTGAGTGATGGGTGATAACTGTGAGTGATTTGTGATAACGGTGAGTGATGGGTGATAACGGTGAGTGATGGGTGATAACGGTGAGTGATGGGTGATAACGGTGAGTGATGTTGTGTGATAACGGTGAGTGTTGTGTGATAACGGTGAGTGATGTTTGATAACGGTGAGTGATGTGTGATAACGGGGAGTGATGTGTGATAACGGGGAGTGATGTGTGATAACGGTGAGTGATGTGTGATAACAGTGAGTGATGTGTGATAACGGTGAGTGAATGAATGAGTAAAGTTATGGTGATAAGTTTATCATGAGAACGAATAACGTGAAGTAACGATATATGGTGTCGCTAATTTCTAATTTTACTAAGGTTATTTTGAGTTCATTGAAAACAGTAGCGATAGCAGAAAACTATAATTAATAATTATCAAGAGATTCTAGTTACCGATATTTTATTGTGGATCACCTAGAGGGTTAAAAACAAGGTTTACCTCGTACGAAATTCACTAAAGGTTTTTCACAGAATATCATCCATCTTCTGATGTGAGACACGAGCCTCAGGTCTTCCAGCATCAAGGAGGTTTGTGAATGATTCTTTTGATATCGTTGTGGCTAAAAAACTTGTATATATTAGCATATAAACTACCTGCAGCATTATATCTAATTATTCGAAATAAGTTGACTTTGCTTAATTAATTATTGCAAAATTGATCATAAATCAAGTAGAAGAATGTTAACTTGTGTCTGGTCAAATTTTACTCTGTTCAGAATTAAATTTAATACAATTTATAAGTGCAAAATCTATTACATATTTATGAATGCTTACAAAAACTTTTTTCATTTATATGGAACTTAATTAAATATGGGGTTCATTATCCGTAGACTTAAACAATTCATCATGAAAATGAGATTCTGATAAGATTTTACGTGCGGATTTCAAATTACTCAACCGGAAATTTGTAAAAGTCTTCAGTCAAATTTTAAAATTATTCTTACTATAAAATCCTCAGATTGTTCAGACGTTCTGGCACTATGTGCTTAAGCTCTGCGCTGTTATGGGCTGCCATTTTTTCATTACTTTGTCATTTTACGAAGTTTGTTTTAAAATAATTACAGTTTTAGCGTAAAAATCGCGCAATTTTTTTCCAATAATAATTTTTTAATTGAAAGGTCATACTTTAATCTGCTCTTATACGTAATTCCAATTAATGTCGAGGCATTTATCGTATCTAGGGACCAGCAATCGTATGTTATCATCAAAAAAGTTTGCATCCTGATGAGACAACCGCTGCTTCACATTCATTTGTATGTCAAACGGTACTTACATTATGAACGCACCTCATACATTTGAGGCGTGGCCACTTTTAAGTGAAATTATTTTGAGTAAATAATCCTTCGTTTGCTTAGACGCTCTGGCGGTAATCAAGGAAGAGCTCCGAGTGGAGTGCTCCAGCTCCGGCGCTGTCGTGGCGCTGCCTGAGTGGGCGGTCGAGAGGATGCCTGGTGATGGTACCCTTACCCTTACCCTCGGGGACAAGACTCCCACCATCGGGGACAGTTCCATTGCTTTCGGGGACAGGTCCCCAACCCTCGGGGACAGGTCCCCAACCCTCGGGAACAGGTCCCCAACCCTCGGGGACAGGTCCCCAACCCTCGGGGACAACGTCTGTGTCAGCACCAGCAACGGCACCCACCTCATCGTCAGCGCCTCATACAGCGAGTGCAGCTTCCAGAAGAGCGTCCGCCCGGCGTCCAGCAGCTACTCCAACAGCGTGCGTAGAACGCAGTATTTACGTACAAAATTATCCTACAGTGGGCGTAGAAGGCATGATTTACGTACAAAATTACCTATCAGCGTGCGTAGAACGCAGGATTTACGTACAAAATTATCTAACAGTGGGCGTAGAACGCAGGATTTACGTACAAAATTATCTAACAGTGGGCGTAGAACGCAGGATTTACGTACAAAATTATTTAACAGTGGGCGTAGAACGCAGGACTTACGTACAAAATTATCTAACAGTGGGCGTAGAACGCAGGATTTACGTACAAAATTATCCAACAGCCTGCGTTGACGCAGGATTTACGTACAAATTATCCAAAATTGGGCGTTGAAAGCGGGATTTACGCACAAAATTACCCAACATTGGACGTAGAACACAGGATTTTCGTACAAATGAATTGTTCAAGTCGTCATAGACAACAAAATTTCCCTGCCGAATATCGGTGAGATGAGAAAGAAACCTGCTCGACCAAGGACAACTTTTTTTTCGTGTTGATATTATGTGGCATTTTGGTTCTCTGTATGCGTGTCAAAACAGAAGAATATTTGTCTCACAGTTACACAGTCTAAGCCACGGAATGTTTCAGAATTACACAGTCACAGTCACGGAATGTTCATATCACAGTCACAGCCCCGGAATGTACATATCGCAGTCACAGTCACGGAATGTACATATCACAGTCACAGCCACGGAATGTTTCACATTTACACAGTCACAGACAGTTGTCACTGTCACAGTCACGGAATGTACATATCACAGTCACAGCCACGTAATGTTTCACATTTACACAGTCACAGACAGTTGTCAATGTCACAGTCACGGACTGTACATATCACAGATCCACATCACGATGTCAGCGCTGCCGCTGTCGGACGACGAGGACTTCGTGGGGTCTGGTCTCGGTCCTGACGAGACGTCGCTGTCTGACGTGCTGACTGTGACGTGCAACGTCGACGCGTCAACTGAAGACGTCACGTCAGCCCACGTCGCCGTCAGTATACAAGCTTACACTAAAAAAATATAATATAAATATGTATAAGTAAAAATATATATAAATAAGTATGTATAATATAAAAACATAATATAAAATATATCAAAAAGAGACTTTATTCAAATTGAGATGCCCCTGTTGCATTTTTGTGGGTTATTTTGACACAGTTTCGCCAGGAAAAAAAAGCGAATTAGTGCTTGATATATGCGTTCTCTGTTCGCGTTGTGGGTAATAAGACGTGTTATTATTTGCACGACATGATCTATTAATTTTCTGAGTGTAGCTTGAAGGTGTCAGGAACAACTAAAAAATCAAGTCGAACCAATATTATAGTAGATTATTATACTACATTATATTATATTATATTATATTATATTATATTATATTAAAATAAATTATATTATATTATGTTTCATTATATATAATACAAAATATTATAACTGTCTCTTATACACATCTAGATGTGTATAAGAGACAGGAACTGCATCATCGTTTATTAACTGCATCATCGTTTA